AAAACGGCGAAGAAAGAACAGTAGCGGAAAACGACCGCTCTCGGCTTCAATACAATTGCATTTTGTTTTTATCAAAAACCTTTTCAGCTCAGCAAACATTTTTGCAGTTTTTGGATGCTTGTTGAAAATGTGCATAAAAACAGATGGATGGAAAAGTACTTTGACACCAGAGATATATGAATGAGGCAACAAAAGCACTTTGGCTAAATGAATACTCCAGAGAGTCGATAAAGTCGGAGGCTTATGGCAGACGGTTCAAAAAAATAGTCAACAAGAAAGAAGCAGAGCTCCGAATGCGCTGACATTTCCTCTATAGCATGGGCGAAGCTTCAATAAGCGCTGCAGCCTACAGCCGCTATAATGCAGCCTAATAACATAAGTCTTTAGATTCCTCCTAAACCCACTTCTCCTAAACCACACTTCCCACTGTGTAATTCAGGATTTTGAGATTTGACTCGTTTCCATCTTCAGCTCGCAGAGAAATCTCTCCACCTCCCCGCAGCACTTTTCAGAAACGCTCTTTGTCGCCGTGCACTCTGAAACAAGGTTCTGTTTATCGTCTGGTAAAGCAGGCCTCTCTGGATCTCCCTTTTTAAAGTAATTTTAGACCCATCTCTAAGCTGCCATTTAGATTTCAGATAAAACTGTCTCTGCACAACCCATCTCGTATGAACAATAATCAAATTTGTGAGAAATTTAGATCTGATCGAATCAAGATGGCTAATTGCTTATTACCTTCCACTGATGCATGCCGACTACTGAAACTGTCCTTCACCTCAGATCATCCTTTGACACGGTGGAATACGATGTCCTAACCAGCTGTTTGAAAACACGGGTAACTACCAATGTAATCCTGTTAAAACTAAAATGTGGATGCCCAGAAAACTGGAGATCTTCTTGCAGTGTCCCCTATATCAGAACATATAGCCACATATGTTTAAGGAAACCTCGTAGGAAAACTAAAATACACTCTCCGTACACACTTTTCTGATGTATTCCACATCAATATCGTATCAATATCTCGCCTCATACGTTACTTAAGACATCCACATTATGTTAATAAAACACTCTTTAGGCAGAAATAAGCATTGGCCGTTGCAAATGACCGTCTACGTGTGATACCGGGGAGCACGCCGCTGTGTGTCTGAGCAGCTCTGCAGGTCGGCATCATTTAAGCAGCATGTCATTATTCCACTCAAGTGTCCAGGTTTATATAAGCCCTCTTCTTGTGATATTTCCCCTCCATGCCTGCGTCCTTACATAAACATCCTGCTGTTTACCCTTCTGCATCGGTACATTCACCGGCTCCCGTTTTGATATTGGGCTGCGCTGAGCTCCTCCTGGCTCCGGTTCAAGAGTACATCTTAAACCCATCCAGAGTTGGCAGCTTTAGTCGACGTGACTCATCCAAACACGTTCATTGTTGTTACTGTACAGGGCAGCTTAGTTATGTTCAGGCACAAAACAGCTTACGTTTGGAAGGAGCTGAGATATCACAGGAGCAAATCACCTCGATGGAAACGCCTAAAACGACCTTGTGTCTGGCTTTTCTCCAGTCGTGTCTTTGTGAGCTGACCTCAGTGCAGATCATATACATGGCAACAGCAGATTGAATGGCACTAGAAGCCACTTCCATTTACAAGTTTCTTCCACGGCAACTGATGCAATTTGAGGGAATGAAACTCACAGCTAGGCAACAAGGAGAGAGGGGGGGAAAAGAAAAAAATCAATAGCCTGGTCCTCTGTCTAGACAAAAGGAGGCTGAGAGGCTTGATGAAAGCTCAGAGGAGAAGTGAAGCTGTTTGACAGAGAAAATGCATTTCAGCGGATATTCAGAAACAAGCCGCTGCATTCACTTACATAATGCTTGTCGTCATCTTCATTGTAGGCAAGTTTGACCACACCGTAGGATCCCTGCAAGGCAACAACAACAACAACAAGACTGATTTTCATGTAGTTGAACATAAAAATTAAAAATCCACATTAAAACATTGTGGTTCGTGAGTAAGATCTGCTGGTTAGATTGCTGAAGCATCAATTGGCGAACAGACGGCAGCACCATACTGACAGAATCTTTTCAAGGCAGCATCGTTTCCATTCAAAAACAACATTTTTATTCTTTGGCAGCACAGAATGGCTCCTCCCACACACACACACACACACACACTCGCTTCCCAAGGATGTGTGTTTACCGTCAGAGCTCTTTTCTATTCAACTTTCTTCTTGGATGAGTGCAAGTCAGTAACGTTAGCGGCCAAATGTTCGACGAAATCAAGTAAAACTTTGACAGTTTGGACAGCCGAACGAGCCAGTTGACTGATTTATTTGTCCTTAGAACTTTATGCTCAAACATTTTTACAAATGTGACAGCAAGGCTGTTAAAAATCAAACTGATCATTCTGCTCACTGCTTAAGGTTAACACTTTCAAATTCTCTTCAGATCCCAAATGAATACCTGCCAACTAACTATCAATCTGATAACCATGCTTCATCTTTTTGATCTGACTGTGCCTTTGGTTTGACATGCCTGCCTGAAAACGCTGCTTTCTGAATGTGCCTGGCCTTGCCGTGTACAATCACAGGCACTTCACTCTTTTCAATTTCTCCTTAGAAAAAATAAAAAATAAGAAATATCTGCTCTGTTGCCACAAAGAACTTCTGCACGTGTTTATCACAAAAATCTCTACATGTGACTTTCTGACACGTGAATCCTGACTGGATCAGGTTTACAGTGACAGCTAACAGGGTGTCTTCTGTAGAGCTCGCTGCATATATATATATATATATATATACGCTTCATTCAGCCTCTCACAATGCAGATACCTTTTTGCTATTTTGCTTCTTACATGGTGTAATTAAAAAGTTCTGACTGTTCATAGTGAGTCATGCGTGTTTAGTCCACAGGCTGTTTGATGCCGTAACACCAGATCAGCAGAGGGACTTCTGTACTCAGTTTTGTACTCAGACCACTGATTGGTGCACATTTAGGGTTTCACCATGAACCTCAAACTGGGTCAGAGAGGAAACATCACCTGGAGGATCTTCTTCCCTAAAAAGAGATTAAGTTGAAGGGGGACCACTTTGACACAGCTGCTAGCATGGTTGTAG